AGACGGCGTGTCCCTTGCCGCGTGGCCTCAGGGCCACGGAGCAGAGCACTGTGTACCGTGGCGCACTGCCAGGCACGTGGGGCCAATACCTGTTCTCCAAACTCCTGGGTTCTGCTTGAAAGCTTGAATTTTCTCACTGGCAAAAATTCTCTCGGATGTTTTCCTGGAGAGGAAAAATGGCTCGTTTCGTGGCCTCTTGAGAAAACTCCTGTCTGATGCCCATGTCTGAGTGACAACAGTCTTCCTGCCTTTCTAGCAAAAAAAAAAAAAAAAAAAAAAAAAGCCGTTCCATGACAATGATCTGAAACAGCCACGTGGCAGAAACCTGTCTGTCCCATCTCGTCCCGCCGCGTCTCGAAACATCCCGCCTCGCGGTCTGGAGAGCCGGTACAGTAACCACGCGTGGTTCTCGGCGTGGGGCCGCTGCACAGAAGCCACACTGAGGAACGCCACCCGCCTGTCAGCGCAACGTCAGCACCATGAGAAGGCCGGATGGCATCTTAGGGCGATCGTGAAGGCGGTTTTACCTTACAGACGCTCCCCGAAGGGTCTCGGGGACCCCCGGGGCCCACACGCCACCCCCTAAGGACAAGCCAGAAACCAGGAGTAGCCCAAGTGCCCACCGGTGGCGGGATGGATGCTTGCTACTGAAGCAAAGCTCCGCACAACAGCGACTGGCTCCAGACCGCTCTCTGCACACAAATCTCCAATCGGGGCGCGAGGCCGGACGCCAGGTGTGGTGCAGGACCCGGAGACGTGACTAGTTGGCGTTGCTGGGGTCACGACCCGTGACTTTGCAGGCAGTGGCCGGAGGGCCGGCAGGGCTCCCCCCAGATGAGGGGTCGTGCGGGGGGACGCGTGGGGACGTGTGGGCCCTTCCCAGCGCGGGTGACACTTTAACATAAAGCTGATTGAGAGAACAGGAAAACGTGACCTGGGTCTGCCCCTGAGACGTTTGCAAAGTGATTTACTTTTTCGGAGGAAGCAGTGGGAAGAAACACGACCATACCTTCCCGGAGGCCAACTCCCCACGGCCGGAAGGAGAGGTTTTTCCTGAAGGAATTAATTACAGAATAAGATCAAATTGTAGCTTAAAAAAAAAAAAGAAAAAAGAAACGTATGTAACAGAGCTAAACTCACCGCTTCAGGCCAGCGGAGGGGTTGTCTATCTTAACGGATGCATTTAATTTTAAATTAAGGATAAAGATGCTCTTTTCAGAATTCTTCCCGGGCCAGATTTAAAGTTTGACCACCTGTAGATTCTCATCCATAACGATCTGTGTGACGTTGTGCAGTTAGGAGGAGGAGGTGCCATCTGCCAGGCCTGGCGGCTGTGAAGGAGCCAGGACGTCCGTCTGTCCAGCGGGTCTCTGGGCCCAGGTTGGATGTGGTCCATGGAGATGCGCGGGGTGGGCACCGGCAGGCACCGTGGCCTCCAGACCCGAGTCAGGCCTGTACCTTGACCATCAG